TTATTTTATTTTATATTTTATATTTATTTTATATTTATATACTTATTTATTTTATAATATTCCTTCTTTGTAGGTCAGTGACTGAGACGTTTTTGTTTGCAGTTCTCCTGTCTACCTTTACTACTTTACAATGCTTGTGTATACTGGGACCAAACATACAAGCATGGATACGGGTATTTAGTAAAAATGGGTAAGTTCCATTTTAAACTTTCTGATTTTACCCAGAAAAGAAATGGACAGAATTGATGTAAACAATATATTATGGAATTTTTTGTAAAGAAAGGAAAACTTCCAGAATTGTGGGTATATTTTATATTTGTAATTACAAGCTTATGAAAGCTTTTCTGACAGAAAAAAATATTTTTTATTTTGAACACATTGATTCAGAAAACTGACTTTTTAGTTTTGTTGTCCAGACACTAAATCTCACTTTGTATGTGTTTAAAGGAAGTAAAGTTGCAAACACACATTTTACTGGTGTGAAACCATTGTGTAGTCCAGTGTGATGGTTATCAAATAAAGAGGAGACCTAAGACTGACCTGTAAAGGAAAACTTTAGCACATGATCCAATAATACCTTTATAAACACAGCTTTTAAAGTAGGAATAACAAGCCAAAACAAACACTATTTTAACAGTATTTTTTTCTTGAATATAATGGCAAAAATTATATATAATTTACTGTGGTCTTAAGTATGTAATCTTTACCTATGCTGTTTTTCAAATTTCAATGCAGGCTGTTTTCAGTGTCAAGAGTTTTCAAGCATTAATTTTTTCAAGAGTATGTTTAAAGTAAAATGAGCCTTTTTACATCATTTTCACCTCAGTGACAGCCATGACATTAGCATGTATCAAGGATAATGTGTATTTCAGAACTATTCTCTCTCTTCTGCCTTTCTTCACTCAATAAATAAAAGGGTTTTTGAAAGACTGGGACACTGAAATACAAAGAAGCCCCACATACGCTTGAGGTTTAATAATAAGATGTTAACATTCATCCCCTTTTAATAGTTCATAAGGGTGAAGTCTCATCTCAAAAGAAAGTGAAAAGTTGTATAATACTGCTGACCTGTGGAGTTACTTTTGTTTTAAACTTCTGCAGAGGAGGACAAAAGTAGACTTTTCATAGTAGTTTCAGGTATTGACTTTGGGTTTATCTCAGTTCTCAGCTTGCTGAAAAATATCTTGAATCCTTATTCAAGTTAGCTATGCTTGTTTTTTTATTTTCAGTGGAAGGATTGAATAGAGTAATAGAAATGACACATTGCAAGACATTAAAAAAAGCATGGAGTTGTTTAGCCAAAACAAATCATGGCTGATTCAGGTAGTCATCTTTGGCGGTTTTGCAACTGGAAATAATAGTTCAAGTAACAGATGTTTGACAACAGTCTGTCTTTGTACCAGGTTAGATTTTGGATGCCTGTCAATTTCTTTCTTTCCTAGCCCAGATCTTAATGTTATTTCAGCGCAGTCATTGCACAGAAAACAGAGCTATCTTAAAATGTTTTGACATTTTTGCTGTGACAACTTGTACCTATTTCTTAGTAGTGAGCCATGTGATGTTATCTGAATGAAATGTCCATTTAATAATGATGTTTATTTAGACTAGCCTTTGAATGAAAATGGACTACAAAGAAATATTGTACCAGTGGTTTTAATGGATTGCAGCAAGCTGCTCTTTTAAAAATAATTCCTGTGTTTTTTCATTTGACCTCTTGAATGAGTTGGAATGTCTTGCACTTAGGCATGAGCAGAGTGTAGGTGTGATGTGTTAAAAAGTTGTCTCTAACTTAACCATGTGGAAGAGGTGGGACTGGTTGAATGGAGGAGAAGGATGGTTAGGCAAGATTAGCACAGCTCTTTACCTTAAAAGAAGAGTTCAGTGAATTGAATTGCACTGGGACAGCGAGCTGGAAAATCTGATTAAGAGTATAGCTTAGTATGAAAAGGAATTTGTTTTAAAAATACCTGAATACAATTTACACTTAAGTAACCACTGGCATTTGTTTTTGTTACTCTTACTTTCCTGTGCTTGGGGAAGAGTGGCTCGAAAGCTGCCCAGCAGAAAAGGACCTGGGGGTGCTGGTTGACAGCCAGCCAAACCTGAGCCAGCAGTGTGCCCAGGTGGCGAAGAAGGCCAACAGTATCAGAAATAGTGTGGCCAGCAGGAGTAGGGGAGTGATCGTGCCCCTGTACTCGGCACTGGTGAGGCCACACCTCAAATAGTGTGTTCAGTTTTGGGCCCCTCACTACAAGAAGGACATTGAGGTGCTGGAGCGTGTCCAGAGAAGGGCAACGAAGCTGGTGAGGGGTCTGGAGCACAAGTCTTAGGAGGAGCGGCTGAGGGAACTGGGGTTGTTCAGTCTGGAGAAGAGGAGGCTGAGGGGAGACCTTATCGCTCTCTACAACTACCTGAAAGGGGGTTGTGGCGACATGGGTCTTGGTCTCTTCTCCCAAGTAACTAGTGGCAGAACGAGAGGAAATGGCCTCAAGTTGCGCCAGGGGAGGTTTAGATTGGATATTAGGAAAAATTTCTTTACTGAGAGAGTGGTCAAGCATTGGAATAGGCTGCTCAGGGAAGTGATGGAGTCACCATCACTGGAAGCGTTCAAAAAACGTGTAGACATGGCACTTCGGGATATGGTTTAGTGGCCATGGTGGTGTTGGGTTGACGGTTGGACTTGATGTTCTTAAAGGTCTTTTCCATCCTTAGTGATTCTATGTGATTGTGTGTGAATGAGATCAAAACGTGCTTGTGCTGTTGTCTCTGCAGAAAGGCAGAAAAAGACATCTACTAAAAGAAAGTGTATCTTGATACATCAAGTGTAAATAAGTAACAGACATTAATTACCTATCTAATGCTCCGGACAGCTTTCTGCTATGTTTTAGGTGGTCTAGTATGAAAATACTATGTGCTTAACATCTTGTCATAGGACTATTGATAAAAGTTACATTCAAGTAACTTGTATGTAATCTGTTCCATCATGATAACTATGCTACAACTGAGTCAGTCTGACTTAAATATTTTGTGGATAAGCTTGCAAAGTGCTTATTTTTTCTGCGGAGATGCTTAGCTTTCTCTGTTTCCACTTGGAAGTGCAGGCACTGCTAGTAAAACCACTTCTAATAAGGTTACTACCAGATCAGTCTTTAAGTGCCCATGCCTCTAGGAGGTAGATTATATGTGCTGTCTCATGATAACTTGTAACCTGTGACACTATGGGTTTATTTTTTGTGTTCTAATGTTTGGGTTGTTGGCAGGGTGGAGTGGAGGTATTTGGTTGGGGGTTTTTTTTGTACACATGAAACAATTGCATGAAACACAGTTGTATCTCAGATAGAAAATTGCACGTGCTCCATGTTTTCAAACTGAGCACACTTTTGAATTGGAAATATCAATTTGATCGACCAAGTAGATTTTCTTTTTAATTACTTTATTTTAAGAAATTTGAACAATATGTTCTTACCCACATATTTATAGTCTATGTGTGCATAGAATGTGTGAGGAAAAATAAGCTATATCAAAACTTTAGTTCTAAGTAGGTAAGCTGTAAATAGGGCTCTTCTCACTAACTACATTTGGGAAAGTGGCAGGCCCATGCCAGCTATCTCTGGATTCCGTATTCTGACATCTAGTGTTGTGACCAATGTCATGACGCTGATCATATGCTATCATGCGCTGCTGTAAGCAGATAGAGGGAAATAAAGAGCTACAGAAAGTGTTATTGGCACTAATGGAAGCAGGTGACTATTCTTTAAATGCTTTTCAGTAACTGTTGGCTGAAATAGCCTCCTGCATAAAAGCCTTTAAGAAATCAGCTTTCAATTGCTGATTTTTGTTGCTCTGTTTGGAGACTATTCATTTCAAGTCATCAGCCTGAGTAACTGTGTTAAATTTTCTGGTATAATAGCAATTATGTCACCTGGGTAGGAAATACATTTTATTTGGACCTTCTCAAAAATACTGTAAAACCGTAACTTTAGGGCTCCTTCCAGTTTTCATTTTGTCTACTTCATCAGTTGGTTGTGAACTGCATACTCTAAGAGTATGGAAATGTCCTTTGTAAAAGGTGGGCATCATCAAAGTGGTGTGCTGCTTTATATTTCAGTCCAGCCACAGAGTGGTATTCCAGATCTTGTCTATCCAGGAGCTGTCTTAGTTACTTCTTTTATGTTAAGTAACCTCCTAATTCAAATGTTATTTAAAACAGCACTTAATGTATTCTATTATTTAAAGGAGTTAAATAATTACTTTAGGCTCTAAAAGGCCTTTATGCCACTAATGATCATTTATCTTACATATCACTAGTTTTTTCTGGAGAATGGTTTTAGTTATAGTTTATTCATAGTTAAAAAAAATAAAGAAACCTATAAAAAGCAAAGTTTATAAATGTTACTGCAGTGGTTAGCTTCATGCAAATAGTGTGATGGGTTAATAGGTTAGATAATATCTGCAAAAATTCCATAGGTGATGTTCTATGCAGAAAAGAGAATAATCAAAGCGGCGTTCCTGCAGGATGATATTGGAGGACAAGTCAGGTTGTATTTGGGCAGCCAGTGTCCATGCTACAGAGTGGTTGAATTAGTAGCTCAAATGGTTGCCAGTCTACCAATGGCTGTTCACTTGGGCACTGTGCCTTGCTAATTCTGTTGTTTTGCTTTTGGACTCAATCCGATATCTCCATATGGTGTAGCAGTATGTGTAGAGTTACCAGACATGATGTCTTGTGGGCTATAAATGCACCTCAGTCAGTCCTCGGTATATTCTGCTGGCACTTCCACTGCTTTAAGACTGTAGAAGAAACAGTTCCTGTTTCTGCTCAAAGTGTCAATGTTGCACTGTAAATATTATAATCTATATGACCTTTATTTTGCAAACAATAAAAAAATGTTTGCCTTACACTTGTGAGCCATTTGGTCAGTATCTGATGCAGCAGTGAGTTATGTGTACTCAGAAGTAAAGTCAGAAATTTCAGGCTCTTCAAAACAAGGTCTAGGGTTAAAGCTTTCATGTCTGCAACCTAAATGGCATACGTGAAGTTGGAGTTTACTATCCAGCTAGTCTACTACCCATAAAAATGCCCATCATTTTTTTGCGTCCGCTAAAGCTAGGTTTGTGTTTATAATTAAGATACAGCAAATGTTAAGATTGGAGCAGGGTTTGAAACCCAGTTCTCCTGTCTCAGAACTGTGCCCTACTCTGTACTGAAATTCTGTTCTTGATTCTTAATTGGTACTAAGTGCTCAAATGTTCATGGCTTGAGAAAAGCAAAGCAATCACCTGGTAAACTGATGATGGACAAAAAGTGTTTATCTATGAAATGGAAACCCAACTTTTCCAAAACTTCTGAAGTCAGTAGTGGTGGAAGCTATAAACTCCCTATAAACTGAGAACATTAACATCTGTTATAACTGGCAATTCAAGAATTCTTTAGCATGCAATAAATTTATCCTGCAGCCAGTGTGCTTGAACTTAGATGCAATGTTGAAGGGCTGCAACATGTAGGTTACATTTATTTGTATTATTTCTTTTGAGTTGATGGAAATTTGCTTTAGAATATTCACATAGTGGACTTCTACTTTAAATATCAAACTGTCATAGTGATCAAATAATAACAGCATGACTCCACCATAGAGTACTTTGACTGTACTTGAACTTCCCTGTACAATCCCATGCTACCCTTTCATATCTGCTTTTCCCTGCACTGCACACAGTATCGTTGCGATATTTTAACTTGCTTAATTAAACAGTGTTTCAAGCTCAATAGAAGTCATTTCCAGGTAAAATAAATTAGCTTTTGCAGTAAACATGTCAAGGGAAAAAAAAAAATCCTGAATTTTCTATAGAAAGATATAGAATCTTTCTATAGAAAGATTGTGATTACAGCTGAAATATGGAACTTACATTTTAAGTATAATTTGTATTGTTAGGAGAAACCTGCATGCTATTTATCAAATATTTTTATTTTTGTATCTGTTTATAGTCTCAAAAATCTTGGGAGAAATCAGATCTAATATTCTGACACGGTCATTTCTACTGCTGTTGAAATCTTGGTCACACACTGTTTTTACAGAGCTATGTCCATCTGGGAAAGCAGTCTACAGATTACTACCATGTGCAGTATACTAGGAGCTTGGTTTGGAGCATTTCCTATTCCTCTTGATTGGGATCGGCCTTGGCAGGTTAGTATCTGCACCTTTATCGCCAATACAAAAATACTAATTTTCTGAATATGCATGCTACACAAAATTGCTCTGAAACTGTACAGGTATATTGGAGTTACTCATAAGCTGTTCCTACAGGGTTATGCCAAACATTTAAAAAGTAATTGGAAGCATCTGTGCTTACAGTGTAAGGATGTAAAAAGCAGAATTATTACCTCCCTCTTTAATACGTTCTTCATTACAGATTTATGAGTGTCTGTTGCATGCAATTTTATCATGAACTAAAGCTGTAAAGCTTTTGTTATGAAGAAGCTAGACAAGTGGGAGGAGAAATGTGAAATGATGAAGATGGCTCCAAGTTTGTCTGCCTTCAATTTCCTATCTTTTATTGTTTATGGGTAGGGAAGGAAAGATGCTTTCCTAGTGTTTTAGTTTCCCTCTATCTTCCGTAAAAGCACTTAACAGAATGCATTTTAAATGGATTTGGATTGATTTGTGGAAACAGTGTGGCCAAAGCACTGTACTGAAAACTTACTTTCTGATTTCAAAGGAAAGCAAGCATTAGCTTTGTAATTGCACAGTCAAAAATGTGAAGCTGGCATTGCAGATTCTGTCTTTATAAATTCAAATCTCTCTGCTGTTTTCTTCACATTTTTGTTGACATGGAGAAATGATTCCATTAAATATAACTGAAGTGTGCAACTGCCAAAAAGTGATGACACTAGTAGCACTTTTTCCTGAATGTCCTTGGTGGGTATTTTCTTTCCTCAGGTCACCAAACTCATACACTCTCAGCTGAGTAGTATCTGCCAGGCCTGTTCTTAAGCAGATGGTTTCAAAGGTTTCTTTCAGAAATTGGTGTAACAAGCAATATACTTCTCTCTCTGATATTGTAGCAACATTGCAGCTTATGCTGCAATGGAAATTTGTCTTCTGTAAGTAGCTAACAGCCTGCTTTCATGCCACCAGCCTTTCTTTGTACCCATGTAATGAGATATAAAAAATTTCTATTTAAAAAATTATAGTAGAGGAGTAGGTTAATACTTAAAGTAAAAAATTTTCTTTTCTTCCCTAAAAATCACTTGGTTTTGCTCTTGCAAGATGTTTCACTGTCGATCCGACATAGGTATGTGTTGGCACTAGTTAATTGTTGATGTCCATCAACGTCACCCAAAAATCAAAGGATTCATTGAAATGCAATCTCTTACCTTCTTGTGAAGACTCATTCACCTTCCTGTGCCAGTGAGAGGCAAGCACTTTTTTCTTGCTCAGCTAGGATTTTAAAATGGCATGTCACATCTGTCAGGTTTTATTTTATTCCTATGCTTGCAGTGAAGAATTGTCAAAGTGTCTTCAGTGTGTCATTTGTGCTTTGAATCAGTCTAGAAGTGTTAATGAAAACTTGCATTTATATAGCATATAATGGCACGTTGCCTATTTTCATGCTTTGTTCACGTTTGTTAAAAAAAATCCAAAATGGTCTCTCTCTCCTCTTTGCTCGGTGTGACCTACTCTTAAGGGTTGCATTTCCTGGTATAGAACTTGGTCCTCTGGGATCAAAACAGTTGTGTGCATGAATAATAATTGCAGAAAACATTAGTCAGTATTTAGGATTAGAGTAAGTCCACATACATGTATTTTGGATGATACTCAGTAACCTAAATGTAGTACTGAGTGCCATCTGATGCATCCAAGAAGCTCCTGTGGGACTGCTGGATATGGCACAGGATTAAAGGAGACCCATTGCCTTTCGCAGCAGTAGTGGGAGGCTGGACAGAATAGTAGGATACCTGAAATGGCACTGGACTCCTATGTTTAGAAAAATGAATCCCACCCACGTGACTACTCTGCCTCTTTTAGGCAGATGCAGATACATGCGTGTGCACACATGCACAAAATCTCAGACTTTGCTAATATGCTGCGTATAAAAATTTCACCTCATGCACCGATTATATAAGGAAGACAATTATTAAGTCAGTAGGCTCCGATTAACAAAACAAAGACACTAATAGATTAAGACAGATACTTTAGGTACAGTTAATTTTTTACTTTATTTGTCCATTCTCCCATCTTCCCATAGTAGGAGACACAAGTTTGGTAATGGTCTGGCAGCTTTTTCTGTTTGAAAACTCTTCCAAGTCAGTAAGAGCCAAACATGACCGATGAAAGTTAAGCTCTATAATCTATACTTAGACATCTAAAAAGAGATTATCTGACTCCTCTGAAAAGCAAAGCATCTGCAAAAACCTCAAATACCATAACTTGTCACTAGCTGTTTCTGGGCGTGAATGTTCCCCAGAGAATTCAGACAGCAGCAGAAACTGTATGTCTGCATTTCACTTTTCCATCACCGTCTCCACCCTCATTTCTGACATACTCCTGCTACCAGAGTTGGCAGGGGAGTTTCTGACTATTAATTCCTGCATCAAAGCAATTTTCCTGTGCCTAGATCCAGAGCTTTTGCTGCTGTGTTCTTTCCCTTGAGTTCCCTTCATTTTACCCCATCCCCACTTTTCCACTTTTTACCTTGTAGTGTTTAAAGTAGGGGGGTGGGGAAAGAAATCTTCCTTTCCATTTTGGGTCTGAGCTGCTTCATCATTACTTTAATCATCACATGAGGAATTCAAGACCAGCCATAGAGAAGTTTGCTTATCAGTCCTGCAGGCTGCCACTTCAATGGTCTTTGAAAACTACAGTTTTAAGTGCTAATTGTTTAAGATCTGCTATATAAGAGGAGATGAAAGAAGCTCTTTTTAAAATGTAATGTAGTTTTTAAAGTCAAATTATCTCAGCAAAGCAACACAGTGAGGCACCAAAATGGTTAACAAATCTTCAAGGCAGAAATGAACGTCTTTAAAGTAGCTTGTTAGAGATCCTCTTCACACCTCTCAGAAGTTTGCAATCACCTATTGATAATTTAATCATTTTGTGAAGGCGATCTCTTAAATATTGGTCACCAAGGCACAGAAGAAGAGACAAAAAAAGCATCCTGGCTAGGCATTTTCAATAGTTGCCCAGGAAGCACTGCTTCCAGTTCAGCCAGCTATGTATGAATGAGGTTCTCTGGAGACACTGAACTTCACACAACAGTCGATTTAATCTTGTCTTTCTATCCCCACCGAGTAGTCAACAACATAGGTATTGAGTTGCACATAGTAGCTCTGCACTGCTGTCTCAGAAATCTTTAGAGCCATGAGACATTTCTGTTGTTCTTCACAAGTTCACTGGGCACTAGCAACAAAACCCCTTTTTGCAAGAGTATTTCTTTTCCTGTCTGATGTCAGGTGATTACAGAAACTAGTAGCAGATTCTTTCACTGTAGCAATGAAAGAGGAGAGGTGCTTTCTGTGTTGTCTTCAGCCTAAGGCAGGGCAAAGATGAATGGCCCTCATAGAGGATTCTGCTGTTGTTGCAGATCTGCTTAGTTTGGGAAGAAAATCTTTAGTGCAGATTGCCTGTCTCCTGAGTGATTGACCTAACCACTCACTGAACATAAAAATACCTGTACATAACACAGTTGTGGGAAAAGGTTCTTTAATAAAAAAAAAAAAAAAAAAAAAGAGACATGGACTGTCAGTATAGAACCTAATCCAGCTGATATGCTTACAGGAACACCTACAGATCAAGTCCCAAGCAATGTCTGAAAAAAATCTTGTAGATCTTAACGTAGGCTTAGAAGTAATCCAGTCAAAACCAAATTATTTCTAGGCAACTGCATGAATAAAGTATTAAGTGGTCATGCTTTTCACATCATCCGTTTCTCGTATTAGCCTAAAAGCAGAGAGCTTAAGGATTACAATTTTGGATTTAACCTTCTCAGATCCAAAATGGGACTCTAATGGAATAGCTTAGTCCTTGGACTCAAGACCGGCTTTTGCGATAAGAACAGGTTTCATTAGTGATTGTTTTCCTTTTCATATTTTAGACTTTTTGTTGTTAATTTTTTTTTTTAATCTGTAGTGGAAATGGTTCTGCTCTAGAACAGAAAATGTGTTTTAAATCTTATTATAGCTACAAGACTAAAGTGATACTATCATTGTAGAGAGCAGTGTTAAAGTATTTAAGCCTGCTTGTTGCAAAATCTCGTTCTGGTGTCTCTATTGGTTATGATTAGTGTTTGTGGTATAACAATGCCTTATGGAAACACAGCTGCATTTGTTGTACCTTTAGTTTCGGACAATTCATCATTTAGGGAGTGTTGCAGACAAGGCAAAATTGGTACTACAAGGATTGGATGGGTCAACAGTAGTTGAGAAATACCACGTGCTAAAGCAAACTGAAGGGTTGCTGCTGCTGCCTTTGTGCTCTGTAGCCCTGAAATGTCAAAAGTTAGCAAAAACATCTGACATTCAGCAGGTGCAGAAATGCACTATGAGTTTGGAATGAAAAATGCTACTGGTATTGACTTAGCTCTGTTAGAACAACCTAATATAACCTGAGGTTCACACAAAAAGTTAAGCACTGTGTCTTAAATTGGTGTATTTTTCCACTTGATCAGGATTTACCACTTTATCATGTCTAGTGTCTATACTTTACTGTAGACAGTTTCAGAGTGTCTGCAGTCTACTTTTAAATTGACTGTAGTCCAGTTCAGAGTGTGGAGTACGTGAAGCCACTTCTGTGAAGTGGCAGTTTTGTTCATAGAAATGGCTTCAAATAAAAATGGCCTGTAGTCACTCACCTGAAGCAAACAAGAGGTTAAAGAGAGAGTACTGAGGATGTTGGAATTCCAGTAGAGTACTGAATAAAGCTGCCTGCACTTTTCTGTAAGGCCCCTGTTGGCTGAATTGCTACACTGATACATAACGGCAGTTCTTCTGACCTCACTTTGTTGCTGCTTTGTGGCCTTAAAAGAAAAAGCAATTGAGGGCAACATTAGGTTCATTCTTTGCTGATCTCTTTCCCAGTCCTTAGCTGTCTGTGTTGGGACTTTAGCATCTTTTCCTGCAATCTTAATAGAAGAACTGAAAAATTACATGGTAGTCATCCCTTTACATCATTGTTGAGATATATTAGTA